TCGGTAAACCGGTAAATCGGTAACCGGTAATGCAATCCCTAGGCACCACCTCATTATGTAGTAGCTGTTAGGGCTTGGCTGTATCAGAATTATCTAGAACAGTGGATTGGTAGAAGAGGACCAATAGAATGGCCTTCCAGATCTCCAGATCTGACACCATAAGACTTTTATCTGTGGTCTACAAAACTCATCCTCATTCTATTGAAGATTCCACGACAAACATTTCCAAATGTTCGGAGGGAATTTAAGAATAGACTGTACTATTGCTTACAAAGTCATTTCGATCATTTAATTTAAAAATTTGAAAATTAAAGTATTTTAGTTATTGTATATAAAGGCGGTTTTATTTTAATGGCTTAGTATGTTGCTTATTAGGTAGTAGGTATTTGCAAATTTTTGACTTTTTTTTACTTTCTTGCATGTTCCAATTAAAATCAGTTTATCAGTAATCATAATTATGATTGTATTAAAAGGAATATTTTTATAACAAAACTTTTATTTGACATACTTCTTTTATGTTGTAGTTACCCAATTATTTTAAAAGCAAAAACTTGCTATACAAATTGTTAATAAAATATGACCTATGGCATAAAAAACTTCTGGTTTATTACCTTAGGGTACGATAAAAGTTTAGTTTCGATTTGGAGGTAAATATTTGTTTCCAGCAATACGATTTGGGTTTAAAAGTAGACTTTTACAAATATATTCGAATGGAAATGGAAATTCTACGCCTAAAGTGCCTATTCAAAGATTCATGCATGCATATTTATAAATTTACTTTGAAAATTTAAATTGCAATTAATTCATGCGTTTTATAAGTTATGATTAAACCATATTTATGCACCAGTAGGTACAATAACTATTACCACAAATAAAAACTTTTTTTATCTAAAGATGGAATAACTTTATAATGTTACAGAAGTAAATGTAATGGAATAACATCGCAGATATTTAGAGCCTATTCGTTTTTTTATCCCCCTGTTAAATTTACGACGGCCCTATTGAAGAGGGTTACAAATTGTGTGCTAAGGAACACTCTCGAGAAATAAATAATAGAATTAAATGGGTTTTAAATATGTATATATACCTAGGTAAAAAGTATATGAACACATAATAAAGGTGTAAAATATCAAAATAATTGAAACATGTTTTTTATTTTGTAAAATTTTGGGGTTTTTATGGCAGGCTGTTTTAGCTTTAAAAAATATCGATTTTTAACAATTTTAGTTCAAATATTTTATTCTACAAAATTTTTGGTTTATATGATACTATAGTCGATAAATTTTTAATACAAAAATTCTCACATTACATTCAAATGTAAGTTTTAAATTTTAAAGTGATAATTTTTGGATTAAAATCTTATCATTTAAATGACTCTTTACAAATTCAAACCAAAACTTTTTATTTCTAACACAAAATATTTAATTGATAGGTACATTTTCAACACAAAATATATAACTTTACATCTTACTCGACAAATTTTGCTGCACAGTTAAATCGCGCACGTTATTTGTGTTTTGTTGCAAGGAGTAAACTAAAAACTGGTTTAGTACTTGATTTCATTGATTAAGAAACTCAACGCTTAAATGCTTATATAGTTACGTTAGTATGTGTATTTTATCTAAGGGATTATATTGAATTATTGTGTTTTTAATTGTGAATAAAATTCAAGAACTAAATCGTTGCATTTTCATGTTTTGCCAAAGGATCCAATTTGGTTTACCTAATATAATTTATATTTAAGTTTGGACATTTTTAAGAAATTAGTAAAAAATAATTTTTGCACAAACATAACCTTAAAATAAACCATTTTTATATTTGTGTTCTCTAAAAAACGCCGACAACTGCATTTTAAACAACAAAATATACCTACGAATTCATGGCAACATAAAATTATAATACATAATATAATGGTATTTTACAGTTAAGTGGAGACTTTAAAGATTTCTTAATCAACGCTTTTAGTAATGCTAAATGCTGTTTAAATTTAGACGACTTATTTTTTTGACGATTTTTACTGAATTGAAATGTTTACACTTTTCACGTTAATCATTACTAAAATGTGTATTTATTGTATCTAATAGATACAATTTATATTTACAGGGACTGTATGAAATTTATTTCTTCATTCGGATTAACACTGTTTATTGGAAAACCGATAAAAACTCAACCAAGGATTTCCTCTCGAAATACACGAAACAACACAACAAATCATGCCACGGTTTTTTTCGGTATTTTTTAACATTTTCCGGCATTATTCTTAAAAACACTCGTTTGTAACACACGCGATTATCATAAGTTGTATACTTTTGTTACGATGATAACAGCCGAGTGGTGGCGCTACTTGCGATACTTTTTTAGCGTATATGCAGTCAGCTCTTTAGCGTTTACACTTTTTGTATCTACTTGACTTAATTTTTATCCATTTTTTCACGTTCTCATGTCCTAATTTTAGCACACCTTGTAAAAAAACTAGCAGAGAAAATTTTTTTTGAGGTACCAAAAAATAGCAAATATTGTTTTATGTGTAAATTTTTAATCCAAAAATTACCACTTACAAATTTAAAACTAACATTTAAATGTAATGTGAGCATTTTGTATGAAAATATATCGACTTCCATTTAAATGACTCTTTACAAATTTAAAACAATAATTTTGTATAATAAAATATTAAAACCACAATTTTTAAAAACCAATATTTTAAATTTAAACCTTTACAATTGCATTTTATATTTATTGATTTTATATTTTATCAATTGTTTTGAGATTAAAAAAATATTAACTTTTGATAGAAAACGTTTATAAGTGTTTTTATTTTAAATGTCTCGACACTATTTTTAAAAAATAAAAAATTTAACTTTAACTATTTTCCTCGTCTTAATTTCCACCAACCACAAACGCGCAATTTTGAATTACAAATGGTTTCCATAGATGCAAAAACTGTATGACAGCACCTTAATTGTTAATTTTAATTGTACCATAAATAATTAAGTTTGTAGTATTTTGTAACTAAATAAATTACCTATTTTTCAGTTTTCAAATTAATACCTATATATTTATTATGTATGCATGTATAATAGGTAGTATGTTTTGTAAGCTATGTGTATGCAGAATAACTGTTACTTATGAAATAGTCTTGTCAAATACCATTCGGGCATCTAATTTTTCCTGTGAAAAAAATCGAAAAAACACAATGCTAAGTAATAATTTTTAACAAAATGCTTCTTGTTAAAATATTACTTAGCAACGTGTTTTTTCGAAATAAGATGCCCTTATGATATTAGTTACACATAAAAAATGCTAGCATAGCATGAATGGGTGAGCCCTTAAACCAATGGGATCTTGTAATCAGTATTCCTGAATAATAGTTCCTATAATATATTATTATGGTGTACCAATAGGTAGTTAGCACTTGGTTTATAATCGTTTACTGTTTTTAAATTAACAACAAAAGTTATCGCTCCTAAATCTATTGATATTTATTTTCATTTTATGTTAAAATGTTATTGCATTAAATTCTAATTTGATTTATTTAATAACGTTACTATGGTATGTATATCATGTAAACATTTAACGCAATAAATTCTTTGACATTTATTCAAAATGTTTCCCTATTTTGGTTTAATAGTAATTAATATGAGCAAATAACAATTTGGATTGCTTAAATTTTAATGCATTCAATGACAGCGCTGTTCTTGGTACTAAGTTAGATTTTGGAATTTATTCTGAATAATTTTTAAAAAAAAATTATTTAGGATTTATTAAATTTTGCCCAAATACATTATAAATTATACTTAAGAAATAATTTTTATTAAAAAATGATAGTTAGAAATTATTGCAAAAATTGATTGAAAATAATGATACAGAAGTGAACTGTTAGTAAATTTTGTCCATTTTAACTAAAAATTAAAAAAAAAAAAAACTTATTATTATTTTAACATGAAAAACACATTAATGTATGTCAATAATTAATTATTCAAGAATATGTTGGACATTGTATTAAAATTTTGACAAGCTGCATTCATAAATTTTAAAAACCTTATTGTTTTGACACGCTATGAATATAACATATGTTATGTTAATATATATTATGTCAGTAAAGCCTCATTCAGAACCTCGTAATTAGTGGAAAAAATTAGTGGTTTCAATTATACTTATAATTAACACAAAACGATCATTCACAATGCGCAAAATTAACATCTAAAATTAAGGGAATTTGCTAAAAGATTGTCCATTCTTCTTAACCTGACATAAACAATATTAATTATATTAAAATAATAATTTCTACAACCATTACAATAATATTTATATAACCTTACCTTCCCTGGCAAATTTTCAAACTTTTTGCTTTTGAAATAAATATCCGCGCACATGCGCAAAGCCGCTTTCCAATTATAATTAGTGGTAAAAGTTAGAAGTTTGCAACCTTTTTCCACTAATTGAAAAGTACTACCATTAATTTTTTGGCTGTGAACAACACTGTATAATATACAGTGTATATTCATAAGACAAACCTTTACGTTAATTGAAACCAATAATTTATTCCACTAATTATGAGCTTCTGAATGAGGCTTAAAGCCTTTTTATATAAACTAGGCAACAAAAATTACGTATCTCCCCAAAATTCGCAAGTCGCAGAAATAAATTGTTAAAATCCTCTATAATCACAGTTTTGCTTCGGACAGCCTTGCATCACCAGGAAAAAATTAATTATCATCATTCATTGAATGAATTTCATTCACCAACGAAAGTAGGTACTAATTCGATAAAATTCCTTAAAACAACACAAAAACTTCTGATTAGGCTCAAATTGAAAAAGAACGACCACAAATATACAACGTAATCTAACGAATCAAAAAGACTTTTTCATTTCGAAACAAACTAATTCCAGTTTTTGTTAGTGAAAATGAAAACCACATTTCCTGCCGCATTACCTGCTGCCTTTGCGGGTTTATTAGAACGCGAAGATGGGTTCATAAAGTGCCGCTTTTTGCACTTACCTCCCAGATGAGCTTGAAATCATGCTGCTCGACACGCAGGAGCTCGCAGGTCGTTTGCGTGACGACCGTCGTGTCTCTAGGAAGATCCTGCAGGATTGATTCGCCGAATGTTGCTCCCACACCCAACGTGCATATCGTCACGGGATTCTGAAACAATTACAGAAGAATTATTAACTTTTTTATATTTACATATATTATTATATTTAGTAAAGACACTGGTTTACAAAAATACAATACACCAAAAACCAGGAAACTTTTTTTATTATACCTAAAAAAAATTTGGGTCAAAATATTGGCAAAATCGGAATCAGCGACCCCGATTTAGTATAAAACGAGTGTTAATTTTATTTTGTAAAATTTTAACATAATTTTTTTTTCGACAACGATAAATGTACGTAACGGTAATGTGCAATTTTGTAATCATTTTGTTCATTTCAAAGGTTACAGATTATTTTTTTGATAAAGTACACGTGATTCCAGGCAGTCAATCAAAACATTTTCCAATGACAATACGCATCAACAAGTTCAACTGACTGCAGCGTCTGCAACTTATGGAGTGTTTATAATATATTACCAGAAATATGTTATTATTGTTATTCGGATTCCTTATACCTATTTAACGAGTGTGCGAAGTGCGAAGTATCCGAAAAAAGATGCCAACACTGGCTTTTAAACTGAATTTAGGGGATACAGTAAAGTTAAAGTTACGAAAAGTAAGTGTTGTTGTAGTACTGATAATTATTTTGTACCAAATTTCTTTATAATTAAATGATTTTTTGTTTAGGAAATTGATTAATAAAGCAACATTTCTTATCAAAACTCTTTTCATTTAAGTTTCCAACAAATACTTTTGTTACTGGGTCTACAAAAATTTTTGTAAAAATAGGGCTCTTTTTGAAAATTACAAGAATTATGGTTGAATTATTGATATAGGATTTTGTTATTAAATCTACAAAATGTTGTTATAATGTGTTATGTGGACCTGGATTAACATAAAATCTGGTTAATATTTGGTTTAAATTAACAAATATTTTTTAACTGTGTATATATATATATAAATTTTTTTTAATGTATAACAACGTTTAACTTCGATTCTTGCTTAATTTAAATAAATGGAAGAAAAGTTAATGAATCCAACAGTGTATGATAAACTAAAAACAAACCCATACAATTAACAAAAGATGATGGTTGTAATTTAAAATCTAGTAGGCATAAAATGTACAGTTTGGATAAAAATGAAAATTAACATGTATGTTTTTATGTGAAACCTACTTTTTATCAAAATTCCCAGAAATAACAAAGTTATAGCAGAAGAAACGGTTATAGCGACATTTTAATTTTTTTCGAAATATTTTGAGAACCGCATATTTTGCAATCTTCAAATGCCATATTAAAATGCAAGTAATTACACAACTTTTCTCTAATTGAACCGCTCTTGTAACTTTAACCGTTTCCGAGATAGAAATGCTATCGCATGGCAATTTGGACACACGGTATAAAGTGTTTACAGTTTTTAAATACAATACTCAAAAATGACTAGTTACTATAGTAGCAGACACTAATAATTGTATACAATTATTAGTGTCTGCTTTTTCACTTATACCATGGTAATCCATGGGATACCATGATATCCCCAATATTTAACAGCCAATTCTTTTGTAAAATTGTTCCCTGAATCCGAAAATAGCGTCAAAAATTATGAAAGTGGAGCAGTTTTTGAGATATAGTCAATTCCATATTATATGGAAAATTGCCTATATCTCAAAAACTGTTCTAGTTTTGTAACTTTTGACGACATTTTCGGATTGAGGGGACAATTTTTCATGGAAATTAACTGCTAAATGTTCGGGATACAAATAATATTATATAATATATGTTTTTGATAATATAATATTATTTTTCATTTTTAAGCTGCCATATTTGATTTTATTAAAAAGACATACATTTGGAATGTCTTCCACACGAAATACCGAAAATTACATTTTAAAAATCAATTTCAAAATTATTTTATATTTTTATATTCATAACATTTTTATTAAAGCATTCTGCATCACGAGATGTCATGATGAATAAATTCGAGTATGACAGTTTCATATTTAATAAAACACTATAACACAAATGAAATATTCATGGAATATTTTATTTCCTTTTTTAAAAGGAAATAAAGAATAGTTATTTATGTCATAAGGCTGAGAAGTGAGTCTTTTTGTGCTCTCAAAGTAACTCAATTGTAACCAGAGCTGGGAAAGTTACTTCTGAAAAGTATCTATAGTGACCTACTTTTCTAAGGTACTTTAAACAAAATAACTTAGTTACCTCTGGTAACTAGATACTTTGAGTTAAAAGTATATTTAGTTACAAGATACTTTAAAAAGTATCTAAGATACTATGCGAAAATATCTAAGATACTTTTTAGTAACTAAGATACTTTTAAGTAACTAAGATACTTTTGAGTAACTAAGTTACTTTTAAGTATGAATAAAAACTATAAAATTATGAAAATTCAACAAGTTGTAGGTTAATTACTTTGAATCATTCTGGAATTCCCCAATTTTCTCTAAGAAAGTATATAAGTTACACTTTAAAAAGTATCATAGTTACTTTAAAGTATCTAAGTTACTTGAATGTATCTTAGTTACTTTACCTAGTAACTTAGATACCTTTTTGTTACAAGATACTTTTCCAAAGTAACTTAGTTAAAGATACTTTCTGTCCAATATAAAAAGTATCTAAGATAATGTATCTTAGATACTTTCAGTATCTAAGTTACTTTTAAGTATCTTTTTTTCAAGATACTCCCGGGATCCCAGCTCTGATTGTAACTGCGTTTTATGTATTGTATATAATACATAAAACGTAGTTACAATTGAGTTACTTTGACCTCAGCACATAAATATATCTATTAAAAATTATTAAAAGTATAAAGTGAGGTTAGAGAGCTCAGAGCTGTTATCAGTTATAGAATTTTTTGATTGGCTCTAAAGGGGGTTCTACAGACTAGGATGTAAAAAACTTAACCTGATAGCTTCAGAGTTGTCACAGGTATCGAACTTTTTTATTGGTACTAACGGATTTTTTACAGACCAGGATGTAAAAAACGACACCTGATTAGTCTGAATTATTTTTACAGCTTATAGGAGATAATCGAATATATTAATATTATTATTAATATATAAGTATACTTTGGTAGTGAGCACACAATAATAAAGATTTATAGAATGATTAAAAATAAACGGATACCTATTCAATAATTTTGAAGTAATAAAAATATGAGCATAATTTATAAAATTTATGGAAAAAAAATATAAGTATTTATAAACACATTTTAAATAAAATATAGTAAATGAAATTTTGTATGGAAAATAAATGAAATTTCCAATGTTAAAACATGCCTTTGTTTAAATTTAAACAAAATAAATTAACCGAAAAACAGTTTCGTTTAAACAAAATTTTAAATAAAAAAGTAAATAAAATTTGTATGCAAAACAAATGAAATTTCGGTCGAATGGTTCGCAAATGTTTCGCATGCATTTTATCGCACGTACAAAATTATAAATTGATTGCGACCGAATACGTCATCAATCGGCACGCCGATAATCGTGTGCGCGAACAAACAAAAGAATGTTGCAGCCCGGAATCGGAAAATAACAAATGCAACGCGAAGATAAAACAAACAGCGGGAATCCGCGCAATTAAAATAACCACCTGGATATGACATCAATATATTGATGTCACTATAGTGATGCATCACTATCCGATAGCGTAGCATGCTATGCTACCAGGAATATGGTTTATCTTTGGTTAATCAGGGTTCGGTTGTTTTGGCTTGAATTGTGAATAAATTTTAATAATTATAAGAAAAAAATGGGTCATGAAGAATAAACAGTGGGAAAGTCACATTTTTGGCGGAAATAAACTAAAATTTACGTGTTATAAAATCAGTTTAATCTGGTACCCTACCTTTACTAAAGAGTTCCCAAACCGAATAAACCCATTTTTTACAAATACTTCCAAGTTATACCTATGAGTTTTCCCATAGACATATGAAACAAATGGACATGTCCATGGGCAAAAACACATACTTACAATATCCAACAATGCATTGTTGAGTATTGTAAGTAAAGTCTATGTGTTTTTGTTTGAAATAAAATAAAAAACGTCGGTTTCAGAATTAAAATACAATGGTGGTTTGTTATGCATTTGGTTGTAAAAGTTGTATAAGTTATATTGACAAGAAAGAGACTGAAATAGCCTTTGTCAGGTAAAAATCTATATTATTACTGAAAACTCAAAATTCTCTTTTTAAGTTATGTATCAAGTTTGATAAACACCATTTTAGTCACAATTTAAATTAGGAACGAGCGAGCGAGAGAATTAAAAGAGTCTAGAAAACTTTATAAACGAGTTGCGTGCTATAGGTACTTTTTCTACAACAAATACTTATTATTATTATCTAAAAATGATTTAAATTAAATATTTGTATAGAGCTACACTCGGAGCGACATCTATAAAAAAATAAAGTAACTAACTTGTCAAATTTGTATGTGTAAATCGAAAATGATCTAACAACAGTTTTTTACAGTGAAAGTGAAGACAATGTTTTATGAGCACTTCACAAACTAGATTTAAGTTAATTTCGGGTGGAGTGGAGTCCCCACCCGAAATTAACTTAAATCTAGTTTACGGCCTGCGAAATTAAAAGGTTAGTACAATGTTTATATAATTTTTTCAAATACTGGCGTTGAGAAACTTTTGTATTGAGATAATAAAATAATTTTTACATTTAGTATTATTTTACAAGAAAGGCACTTTATTTTAAAGATTGTATAACATTTGACAACTGTCAACTAACTTAAAACTAACGTCAGATCGTAAATAAGTAGAAAAATCTATTTTTCTACTCCTTTAAAACGCCCTTTATCGTACAGGTTTAAAGTTTTAAAAGTTTATATGAACATTGTACTGACCTTTCAATTTCGCCGGCAGAACTAGATATAACCATTGAGTAAAGAACACACACACTTTACTCAATGATATAACTTAAATTCTGGCTCGTACTCCACTGTAAAGTGCTCATAATACATTTTCTTTACTTTAACTGTGAAAAACTGTCAATTTTCAAGAAATACATTTCGATTTATAACCTT